CAAGGGGCGCCCCAAGAGGGCCCCAAGAGGCCGAAATCCATGATTTTCCATCGGGAAACGTATATTTTTAGCATATGCGCTTTGTCGGCTTTCACGGCGTTGACGACGGCCCAAGAGGTCCCGAAGACCGCCCCAAGACTGCCCAAGAGGCTCCCAAGAGGCCCCCAAACGGCCCAAGAGGGCCCCAAGACGGCCCAAGAGGCGCTCAAGACGGCCCAAGAGGGCGCCAAGACGGCCCCAAGAGGGGGACCACGAACCGAACAGTCTAGCCTTTCGCTCCAAGACGCTCCCAGGAGGCCCCCAGAGCCCCCCAAGAAGCCCCAAGAGGCCCCCAAGAGGCGTCCCAGGAGGCCACCTGGAGGCCAGAACCATTGATTTCCTTTGGGAAAAGCTACATTTTTTGCATACGAGGCGTTTCGGCTTTCACTGCGTTGGAGACGCTCCAAGCGGCCCCCAAAACCGCCCCAAGACGGCCCAAGGGGCTCCCAAGAGGCCCCCAAAACGGCGCAAGAGGAGACGGCCCCAGAGGTGCCCAAGACGGCCTAAGAGGGCCCCAGGACGGCCCCAAGAGGGGGACGACGAACCGAAAAGTCTAGCCTTTCGCCCCAAGAAGCTCCCAGGAGGCCCCCAAAGCCCCCCAAGAAACCCCAAGAGGCCCCCAAAAGGTTCCCAAGAGGCCTCCAAAAGGGCCCGACAAGGGCCCCAACAGGACCCCCAAGAAGGCCCAGATACGCCAAATAGATAACGATCGGTAACGCAAAAAACTCTTCACACCAAGGCTCCCAAGAGCGAGCGGTGACGTAAACAAGCTGATAAGACCAAGGCTCCCAGCAGAGAGCGGTGACGTAAGAAGTTCCTGACACCAAGGCCCAGTCAAGGCTCAGGAACGGGCGGCAACGCAACAATCTCTGAACACCAAGGCTCCCAAGAGCGAGGGGTGACGTAACAAACTCTCAACGCCAAGGCTCCCAGTACGAACGGTGGTGTGAGCATTTTCGGATTCTGTTTCTGAAGCGTTCTTTCCGTTTCTGTGCCGTGCCAGGTAACGGAAAGAGCGAGGTACGAGTGATGACGTTCTGGTGTGGGCGAAGCCCTAAAAGGAGGGGTTCCAGGGGAGGGGGGTAGCGTGCGGACCTGCGTGTTAATGGCCGTTTTCGGGTACTCCTTCGGGTTTTTGCATGTTTTTCGGGTTCCCCCCCAAGACGGCCCAAGAACGCTCCAAGAGAGCCCAAGACGGCCCAAGAGGCCCCCAAGAGGCGCCCAAGGGGCGTCCCAAGAGGGCCCCAAGAGGCCGAAATCCATGATTTTCCATAGGGAAACGTATATTTTTAGCATATGCGTTTGGCCGGCTTTCGCGGCGTCGACGACGGCCCAAGAGGCCCCCAAGATCGCCCCAAGACGGCCCAAGAGGCCCCCAATACGGCCCAAGAGGGCCCAAAGACGGCCCAAGAGGCGCTCAAGACGGCCCAAGAGGGCGCCAAGACGGCCCCAAGAGGGGGACCACGAACCGAAAAGTCTAGCCTTTCGCCCCAAGACGCTCCCAGGAGGCCCCCAGAGCCCCCGAAGAAGCTCCAAGAGGCCCCCAAGAGGCGTCCCAAGAGGCCTCCGGGAGGCGAGAATCATTGATTTCCTTTGGGAAAATGTACATTTTTCACTGCGTTGAAGACGCTCCAAGAGGTCCCCAAGACGGCCCCAAGACGGCCCAATATGCTCCCAAGAGGCCCCCAATACGGCCCAAGAGGGCCCCAAGACGGCCCAAGAGGCGCTCAAGACGGCCCAAGAGGGTACCAAGACGGCCCCAAGAGGGGGACCACGCACCGAAAAGTCTAGCCTTTCGCCCCAAGAAGCTCCCAGGAGGCCCCCAAAGCCCCCCAAGAAACCCCAAGAGGCCCCCGAGAGGTTCCCAAGAGGCCTCCAAAAGGGCCCGACAAGGGCCCCAACAGGACTCCCAAAAAGGCCCAGATACGCCAAATAGATAGCGATCGGTAACGCAAAAAGCTCTTCACACCAAGGCTCCCAAGAGCGAACGGTGACGTAAACAAGCTGATAAGACCAAGGCTCCCAGCAGAGAGCGGTGACGTAAGAAGTTCCTGACACCAAGGCCCAGTCAAGGCTCAGGAGCGGGCGGCAACGCAACAATCTCTGAACACCAAGGCTCCCAGGAGCGAGGGGTGACGTAACAAGCTCTCAACGCCAAGGCTCCCAGTACGAACGGTGGTGTGAGTAATTTCGGTTTCTGTTTCTGAAGCGCTCTTTCCGTTTCTGTGCCGGCCCAGGTAACGGAAAGAGCGAGGTATGAGTGATGACGTTCTGGTGTGGGCGAAGCCCTAAAGGGAGGGGTTCCAGGGGAGGGGGGTAGCGTGCGGACCTGCGTGTTAATGGCCGTTTTCAGGTTTTCCTTTGGGTTTTTGCATGTTTTTCGGGTTCCCCCCCAAGACGGCCCAAGCGCGCTCCAAGAGAGCCCAAGACCGCCCAAGACGGCCCAAGAGGCCCCCAAGAGGCGCCCAAGGGGCGTCCCAAGAGGGCCCCAAGAGGCCGAAATCCATGATTTTCCACAGGAAAACGTATATTTTTAGCATATGCGCTTTGTCGGCTTTCACGGCGTTGACGACGGCCCAAGAGGCCCCCAAGACCGGACGGCCCAAGAGGCTCCCAAGAGGCCCCCAAAACGGCCCAAGAGGGCCCCAAGACGGCCCAAGAGGCGCCCAAGACGGCCCAAGAGGGCCCCAAGACGGCCCCAAGAGGGGGACCACGAACCGAAAAGTCTAGCCTTTCGCCCCAAGACGCTCCCAGGAGGCCCCCAGAGCCCCCCAAGAAGCCCCAAGAGGCCCCCAAGAGGCGTCCCAAGAGGCCACCGGGAGGCGAAACTCATTGATTTCCTATGGGGAAATGTACATTTTTAGCATACAAGGCTTTTCGGCTTTCACTGCGTTGAAGACGCTCCAAGAGGCCCCCAAGACCGCCCCAAGACGGCCCAAGAGGCTCCCAAGAGGCCCCCAAAACGGCCCAAGAGGGCGCCAAGACGGCCCAAGAGGCGCCCAAGACGGCCCAAGAGGGCCCCAAGACGGCCCCAAGAGGGGGACCACGAACCGAAAAGTCTAGCCTTTCGCCCCAAGAAGCTCCCAGGAGGCCCCCAGAGCCCCCCAAGAAGCCCCAAGAGGCCCCCAAGAGGTTCCCAAGAGGCCTCCAAAAGGGCCCGACAAGGGCCCCAATAGGACTCCCAAGAAGGCCCAGATACGCCAAATAGAGAGCGATCGGTAACGCAAAAAGCTCTTCACACCAAGGCTCCCAAGAGCGAACGGTGACGTAAACAAGCTGATAAGACCAAGGCTCCCAGCAGAGAGCGGTGACGTAAGAAGTTCCTGACACCAAGGCCCAGTCAAGGCTCAGGAACGGGCGGCAACGCAACAATCTCTGAACACCAAGGCTCCCAAGAGCGAGGGGTGACGTAACAAGCTCTCAACGCCAAGGCTCCCAGTACGAACGGTGGTGTGAGTAATTTCGGTTTCCGTTTCTGAAGCGCTCTTTCCGTTTCTGTGCCGGGCCAGGTCGAATGGCTTTCGGCCCATCCCGCCAACGAGCCTGGGTTGTGGGTAGGAAGCGTATTGGATGTTCGTTGGGATCTCGTGGGAGGCCCTTCGGGTGACTCTTGGAGGCAGATTAGAAGCCTCTTGGGGGCCGTTTTGGGGCCTCTGGGGGCCTCTTGTGGGCCTCTTGTGGGCCTCTTGGGGCCTCTTGGGGGCCTTGTGGGGTTCTCTTGAGGCTTCCTGGGCGCCTCTGGAGGCCTGGAGGCAGAAGACTCGGATTTTCGGTTCGTGTTCCCTCTCTTGGACTCTTTTTGGGGCCGTCTTGGGGCCCTCTTGGGCCGTCCTGGGCGCCTCTTGGGCCGTCTTGGGGCCATTTTGGACCGTCTTGGGGCCCTCTTGGAGGCCTCTTGGACCGTCTTGGGGCGATCTTGGGGGCATCTCGGGCCATCTTGGAGCGTCAGGAAGCCGAAAAGGCAAGAAAGCCAAAAACCTTCAAAAACCTTCTTGGAACATTAATGATGTTTGCCTCTTGTGATGTGACTCTCTTGGGATGCGTCATGGCCCTCTGACCTCTTAGGCCATCTCGAGGTCATCTTGAGCGTCTTAGAGCGATCGTTCGGCGACTCGGGGCCCTCTTGGACCGTCTTCGGGGCTCTGGAGGCGCTCTGCCGCATTGGGGCCTTCGTGGACCCGAGCAAGTGACGCGGGAAGGCGCGAGCGAACCCAGAGGGCACGCGGCAAGCCCCGGCAGATTTTGGACTTTTGGGTCCGGGCCCCTTACAGACTCCTCAGGACTGAGGACTGAGGCTCCAGGGTTTAGGCAAATGGCCTGAGTACACGCCCACTCCGTGCCCAGAGGCACGGTGGCGGATATCAAGATCAGCAAAGGAGGTGGCACGCTCGTCTTGTGGTCAGAAACTTCGTGGGGCGCAGGCGCACATGATCCCATCACGTAGATCGTGCGCGTGTGCGCAACTTGAGAACACATGTTCTGCCCCTGTTGTTCGTATGAGTTCACGCGTTTCCGAGCCGCCATCGCTGATGAAGTACCCCCTTCAGTCCCTCTCAGGTAATCTGACTTCGTCGCCGTCGACATATGCACGTCTGCGTTCGGCTGCCGTGTTCTGCGGGTGCAGAATGTGAGGACCATGAAACCCCAAGTTGCCTTTTCTCAGTGTTCTTATTGTTCCAATTTGGCCTTCCAGCATGACAACTGCTAGAAGCAATTTAATCGAGCATGTGCTATGACTATATTCATCGTTGGCCGAATCGGTGGCTGAGAGGGATCGCTTGGTAGCTTTTCCCAATCCTTTCGCCGCAACGTTAGGCGATTGCGGGGGGCCCCGGGGAAGGCTGCTCCTGTGAGGGTGTGGAGATGTGCAGTCTTGCCCTTGGCGCCATTATTTCTTTGTCTGCTGCTTTGCTTCTTCGCACGCCTTGGCTGAAATGATCGCCCCATGATCCCAAGCGCAGGCCTTCGAAGCTGCTTTTGAGAAGATAGTGAAGAAAGACGCCGGGGCGCAGACCATGGCGGAGTTGATGTGGTGTGCGCTGGACCTCCTTGCATCTTTATTTTTATGCATGTAGGTGGGACCGTTCATTCTCGCGTCACTCTTCGATGTGGAGGTTGGGTGTCACACAGCTGCTCCCTTTTACTCAAGAGGCTTACGCCTTTCCGCCGACCCCCAGAAGAGACGGGGAGTCCACGGTTGAGGCGTCGTGGGCTTCTTGAAAACACTATCTGGGGGCGCTTATGGGTGTCTTGGGAACTGTTGGGGGCGTGGCTGAGCCTCTTGGAGGCAGTTTTGAAGCGTCTTCGGGGCCGTTTCGGGGCCTCTTTTGGATCTCTTGGGGGCCTTTTGTGAGGCTTATTGGGGGCCTCTGTTGGGCCGCCTTGGGGCTTCTGGGGGCTTCTGAGGGGCCTCTCGGGGCGGAAAGGTTGGATTTTCGGATTGTGTGTACCCTCTTGGCCTCTCTTTGGGCCCTCTTTGGCTGTCTTGGGCCCCTCCTTGGGCCGTCTTGGAACCCGCTTGGTTGGGCCGTCCTGAGGCCCTCGTAGGGGCCTCTTGGGCAGTTTTTGGGCGGTCTCCGGGCCTGTTGGACCGTCTTGGAGCGTCGGAAGCTCGAGAAGACGAAAACCCCAGAACCAACGTGACAACCTAAGGAAAGCCCTTGTTTTTTGCCTCTCGTGGCCTTCTAGGGACGGCCCTTGGGCCTCTCTTGGGGCGTCTTAAAGATGTCTTGGGGCGTCTTGGAGCTATCGTGGGCGTCTTGGGCAGTCGTTCGGCGATTCGGGGCCTTCTTGGAACGTCTTCGAGGCCTCGGACGGCAGATTTGACGCTGTAGAGCCTCCGGGAGTGCGCCGCCGAGCCCGGATACCCACTCCCTCCTCAAACCGGATTGCGGACCCTGGGGGAGGGGGAAAGGGGGAGGGGGGACAGCCCATCATCTCACACGTTTTCTTCCCCCCGCCAAGCGGGGGTCGGAGGAATTGTCATTCAAAGGGTGGGTGACTTCGAGAGGCCCCCCCTCGTAGCTTGCCAAAGTGGGCGGGCTTCGAAGTCACCCCCCAGGCTTTTGAAGCCGGCAGGATGTCAGTTCCGGGCTCTCCTAACCCCCCCCCCTTCTTTGAGCGAAGACGGGGGGCCCAATTGGGGGCTTCCAAAGTTATTCGCCCTTCCTCCATTGTAGACCGAGGCTGAGCTGGGGAGGATGAGCCAGGGCTCCCATTTCAAGAGGGGGGCTGTGTTTTGAACCTGCGTGCCAAACCTCGCGAGACCGTCGGCTCGGCGATGTGCAGGCTGGAATCCTCGCTCCTCCTTGCCTCCACGTTCTATGGTATTTTTTCCATCATTCACCCCTCTTCCTTTTTCTAAATTTGCGGGCATATGGAATGCGGTAAGTTGAGGTCTACCCGTTCAAGAAAGTTCCCATCGGCAGGTCCGCATTGAAAAGACTCGCAAGCCTGGTCCCCATATGCACGAGCCTTCGCACACGCGGTCAGTGACGGCAGGAAGCTCAGGCAGCCGGAGAACAAAACAGACCGCCGACCTCCCACAATTCCCGAAGACACCTCCATAGGTCGCTCTTTCCCTCCGCCCCGCAGCTCACCCAGGCAGCAACACAGCGCGGGTCGGGGGCGCGACACACAGTCAGCAACAATCCCACCAGCGCGCCCTGATGATCCCATGGGTGGTCTCCCCATGCACTTGCGGCCCATCAATGAAGCAAATGTCACAAGGGACGAGCCAGCACCGGATAAGATCATGAGGTTGCAGAAGACGCTGGGAGGTGCGTTCAACGGGGTATGGAGCGCCTGGGTCCGTAAGGCAGGAATCAAGCAAGGGAGCACATGGGTCAACATCAAGTCCGACCCCAGGAAGAATACGGTGCAGCAGTGCGACGACGTCCTCCAGGCATGGAGCAAAGTAGGTTACGATGCCTACAGGACGGACAAGGAGTACCAGCTCCTGGTTGAATGGCCAAACGTTATGAACAAGCAGCGCAGTCTTACACAGCGCGACACGAAAAAACGTACCCCCGAAGGACCCATCGGAGGCGGACGCTGGAACCCATGGGCCGACGAGGCCAAAGTGGCTTCCAATTCCCCCCCGCGGTCCGCCGACGACAAAAGGCGCCTCGCAGGCAGCCGCCTCGGGAGGGCCCATCGGAGGCGGACGCTGGAACCCGTGGGCTGACGAAGGCAAAGAGGCTACATGGTCCCACCCGCTGTACGCCGACTACAGAGTCGCCACACAGACAGGCGCATCAGGATCGGCCGCCCCCTGGGGTTCATGGCAGTCCTGGGGCGGGTGGGACCACCAGCGGGACACATGGGTCGACGCAGACTGGAGGGCCAGAGGGAAACGGTCCTCCCCCAAAGGAGATACCCACTATGCTGACAAACGCCAACGGGGGTGGGACTCCGCCCCAAGTGAACGCGACAGGGACCCGCCACCGGGAACCAGGTCCCCCCCCCCCCCCCCTTGGCCTGGGGAGTCGGCCCTCCTGTCTGGGAACAGTCGCTCTGCGCGCTACTCGCCTTCCCACCTGCACGTTTGCCCCATCCCCGCTCTCTCAAGGGCTGGCCTGCGCAGCTCGACTGCGGCTCAAGACCTTTTCCTCCCGCTCGCGTCAATTCTCAGAGTTGGCACTCAGCCCGTCACGGAACGCAGCGCTTGCTCTCTGGACAACAACGACCTTGGGCAGCTGTGGACAACCCCCCCCTCCCTATACAAAGTGGTCTCCATCGCGCTGACCCTGTGGGCCACATTGGACCCCTCTGCGCCAAGCGGGGCCCAGTGGGTCGGCAGCCCCGTGGCCCTCAACCGTCTCTTTGCTGCGCACAGACACGCGAGTGGTGAGGAAGAAAGACTGCGCGGACGGCTGCCCCCCACGGGCCACCGCTTCCGCGGGTGGCCCCTTCGCGACGGGGACTGGTTTCACCGCAGTGACAGGCCGAGGCCTTAACACTCTTGTGCCACCTCTTGGGGATGAGGTGCACCTATACTATCACACTGCGTTTAGACTACCCACGCTTGTTCGTGGGCTTCATAGTCCGTGAGGGTTCGGCTGAAATAATCCATTCCCACGGTTCCCTTTTTGGCCTCGTTCTCACTGGACAATGGTCCGTCTTTGTCCGCTTGGGCACTCACTTTGGATGACTGGGACTGCAGGCCAAAGGCCCACCCCGCGTGCGCCACCTGTCGTACCGCACTCCTCTCAACACTTCCTACCTACGGTGGCCCCGGTCAGGTGGGTCGCCCCCCCCCCCCCCCCCCCGCCCCACCTGACAGGCACTTCCCCCCCCCCCCCCCCCCCCCCTCGAGTTCACGACTCCCTTCCACGCACACTGTTGGGTCCTCTGCGGTCACCGCCTCGCCAGGCCCACAGCTTTGCCCCTCTCCCTCTCCTCCTTTATTTTCCAGACTTGCGGCTATCGGCTGCGCCCCCCCCCCCCCCCCCCCCTCCCTCCACGCGCGCCGATGCGGTGCGCCGCGCCGCTCGCCCCCCCCCCCCCCCCCCCCCCTCGTGGCAACGTTCGCGTGCATGCTCCGAGGCGGCCACACCTGTCCCAGCGGCGGGGCGCGATCGCCCGCTGGCTCCGGCGGGTGGGCCTGGGGAGGCAGGATCCCCGTACAAGTGGTCCATCTTTGGACAGGGCTGAGCCTTCACATGGCAGGCCCGCCCCTCCGGCCCCCGGCTTCGCTTGTGACATCGCCCCCGTCCTCTGGACGGACTTGTTGCTCGCGTGCGCCAACGACGCCAACGACCGTTTCCACGGTGCACGGCGCACGCGGCCCACGACAGCCCAGCGGTTCTCCCACGGGCAGGTCCGCAGGCCCCCCGCTGGGTGGCGCAGCCGCGGCACCACGCAGCGTTTCCCCCATCCACAGCGGCAAGGAAGTTGCAAGCTGGGACTCACGACTAGGCTGCCGACGCCTGTCATTGTTCGACGCACTTGTCTTCGAGCACTTTAGGTGCTCTGTGAGTAAGGTTTCCTTCCTTCCCCATGAAGGGATCGGCTCGGTTCGGTTCGGTCCGGTTCTGCAGCCGGGTCGGTTTTGCTTGGCCGGTTCGGTTTGGCATCGGTCCGGTTTCGGCTGGTTCGGCTTGGGCCTGCCGCCGGTTCGGTTCGGTTCCGGTTTTCGCGCGGTTGGGTCCGACCGGTTCGATTCGGTTTGAGTGGCCGTTCCGGTTCGGTTCGGCCCGACTGGTCAGGTGCGACGTTGGGCGCCCCGTCTGCGTAAGCGACGACCCAGTTTGAAAAAAAAGTGGGGGAGGATGGGGGAGGAGGAGGAGGAGGAGGAGCAGGAGGAGGAGGAGGACGAGGAGGAGGGGGAGGAGGAGGCGGAGGAGTGAGGAGGCGGACGACGAGGAGGAGAAGGAGGAGGAGGAGGAACGTGGAGGCGCGGAGGCGCGAGGCCCTCGGGTGCGACCCCCCTCGCGGCTGCGACCCCCCTCGCGGCTGCGACCCCCCTCCCGGCTGCGACCCCCCTCGCGGGTGCGACCCCCTTCGCCGGTGCGACCCCCCTCGGGGCTGCGACCCCCCTCCCGGCTGCGACCCCCCTCGCGGGTGCGACCCCCCCCTCGCGGTGCGACCCCCCCCCGCGGCTGCGACCCCCTCGCGGCTGCGACCCCCCTCGCGGGTGCGAACAAACCCACCCCTCGCGGGTGCGACCCCCCTCGGGGTTGCGACCCCCCCTCTGCGGGCGCGCGACCCCCTTCGCGGGTGCGACCAACCCCCCTCGGCTTGCGACCCCCCTCGCGGTGCAAAACCCCACTCGCGGGTGTCGACCCCCCCTCGCTGGTGCGACCCCCCTCGCGTGGACCCCCTCGCGGTGCGACCACCCCCCTCGGGGGGCTGCGACGCCCCCTCGCGGTTGCGACCTACCTTGCCCGCATCGCGGGTGCGAGTAACGCCTCTCCCTGCTGCGCTGCGACCCCAGCCCCCCCCATCCGGATGCTGCTTAGGACTGCGACCCCCTCGCGGCTGGCGACCCTCCTCCGCTGCGACCCCCCCCCCTCGCGGTGGCGACCTCCCCCCCCCCTTCGGGGCTGCGACCCCATCTCCCGGGTGCGGACCCCCCCTCGCGGGTGCGACCCCCCTCGCGGGCGCGACCCCCCTCGCGGGTGCGACCCCCCTCGCGGGTGCGACCCCCCTGGCGGGTGCGACCCCCTCGCGGGTGCGACCCCCCTCGCGGGTGCGACCCCCCTCGCGGGTGCGACCCCCCCTCGCGGGCGCGACCTTCCTGGCGAGTGCGACCCCCCTGGCGGGCGCGACGCCCCTGGCAGGTGCGACCTCCCACGCGGGCGCGACCCCCCTCGCGGGTGCGACCCCCCTCGCAGGCTGTGACCCCCCTCGCTGGCTGTGACCCCCCTCGCGGGTGCGACCCCCCTCGCGGGTGCGACCCCCCTCGCGGGTGCGACCCCCCTCGCGGGTGCGACCCCTTCTCGCGGGTGCCACCTCCTTCGGGGCTGCGACCCCCTCTCCTGGGTGCGCACTCCTCGCGGGTGCGACCCCCTCGCGGGTGCGACCCCCCTCGCGGGTGCGACCCCCCTCGCGGGTGCGACCCCCCTCGCGGGTGCGACCCCCCTCGCGGGTGCGACCCCCTTCGGGGCTGCGACCCCCCTCGCGGGTGCGACCCCCCTCGGGGCTGCGACCCCCTCGCGGGTGCGACCCCCCTCGGGGCTGGACCCCCCTCGGGGCGCGACCCCCCTCGGGGCTGCGACCCCCCTCGCGGGTGCGACCCCCCTCGCGGGTGCGACCCCCTCGCGGGTGCGACCCCCCTCGCGGGTGCGACCCCCCTCGCGGGTGCGACCCCACCTCGCGGGTGCGACCCCCCTCGCGGGTGCGACCCCCCTCGCGGGCGTGCGACCCCCCCTCGCGGGTGCGACCCCCCTCGCGGGTGCGACCCCCCTCGCGGGTGCGACCCCCCTCGCGGGTGCGACCCCCCTCGGGGCTGCGACCCCCCTCGCGGGTGCGACCCCCCTCGCGGTTGCGACCCCCCTCGCGGGTGCGACCCCCCTCGCGGGTGCGACCCCCCTCGCGGGTGCGACCCCCCTCGCGGGTGCGACCCCCCTCGGGGCTATCGGGGTGCGACCCCCCTCGCGATCACCCTCGCGGGTGCGACCCCCCGCGGGTGCGACCCCCCTCGCGGGTGCGACCCCCTTCGCGGGCATGACCCCCCTCGGGCTGCGACCCCCTGCGGCTGCGACCCCCCTCGCGGGTGCGACCCCCCTCGCGGCTGCGACCCCCCTCGCGGCTGCAACCCCCCTCGCGCGTGCGACCCCCCTCGGGGCTGCGACCACCCTCGCGGGTGCGACCCCCCTCGCGGGTGCGACCCTCCTCGCGGGTGCGACCCCCTCTCGCGGGTGCGACCCCCCTCGCGGGTGCGACCCCCCTCGGGGCTGCGACCCCCCTCGCGGTTGCGACCCCCCTCGCGGGTGCGACCCCCCTCGCGGGTGCGACCCTCCTCGCGGGTGCGACCTCCCTCGCGGGTGCGACCCTCCTCGGGGCTGCGACCCCCCTCCCGGGTGCGACCCCCCTCGGGTTCTGGGGTCTTGGGGCTCCGGGGGTCCAGGGGGGTCCTGGGGGTCATCGGGGTCGATTCGGGAGGTTCTGGGGTCATCGGGGTCCTGGAATCCTGGGGGTCATCGGGGTCCTGGGGTCCGGACCGGAGGGGAAAGGGGTTCGGTTCGGTTCCCGTCGGTTCGGTTCAGGGGCCGCCCGGTTCCGGTTCGGTTCCGGTTCTGGTTCGGTTCGGTTCTCGCCGGTTCGGTTCTGAATGAATTCGGTTCGGTTCGGTTCGGTTTTCTACGTTCCTGGTTTTGGACCGGTTTGGTCCGGTTCGGTCACGGTTCTCGGTTCTCGGCTCGGTGCGGCCCCTTCATGCTTCCCCCTCTCCTCGTCGCCTCCTGCGCCTGTCTCCCCTTCTGCTCCTCCTCGCCGCGTTTGGCGGTGCCTTCCCTCGCGTTCCCGCCTTTTCGCAGGCTTGGTCTGTGGGGGCTGGCGCCACAGTGCGACCCTCTGCTGGCTTTTCCAGTCTGTTGCCGTCTTCCGTCCCCGGGTCGGCTCTAATGAGGGTCATTTTGTCCCTCGCGCGTGCATTGCGGCGTTGGCCTATGTGCCTTCGTTGCCAATCGTCTCGCATTGCGCCCCTGTCGAGATTGACCCGCTCTCTGGAGCCGTCCCTGGAGCCGCAGATCAAAAAATACCCCGCCCGTCCACTAACGACGCCCAGGCGAATGGAGGTGATCAGGGAAGTGAGGGAGCATACAGAGGAACAAAGGGCTGGGGAACCCGTCTTACCCAAGACGGCGAGGATGGAGGAGGAATCGGAGGAGGATGAGGCGGAGGGGGAACTGAAGGAGGAGGAGGGGGAACGGGAGGAGGGAGGAGGGAGGAGGAGCAATAGGCGGATGAGGAGGAGGACGAGGAGCAAAACGATAATGAGGAGGAGGATGAGGAGAAGGGCGAGCAGAATGGCCAGAGGCCTCTTGGATGCCTCTCGGAGTCTCTTCGGATGTCCTTTGGGAGCGCCCTGAAGGCTTCTTAGGGCGTTTTGGGAGCGTCTTGGCGGTCCCGGAGGCCTCTTGGGGCGTCTTGGGTGCCTCGGGGAGCCTCTTGGGGACCTCTTGGGGCCATCTTGGGGCCATCATGGCGCCTCTTGGGGCCTCCTGGGCGCTTTTTGGGGCCATCTTGGAGGCGATCGATAAAAGAAGAGGGTGGGGTTAATTAGCCCTGCCCCTCTCGATCCTCTAAAAACGCCTCTTGGGCTCATCTTGAGGCGCTCTTGGAGCGCTTTTGGGCGCTCTTGGGGCCGTCTTGAGGCTCTCTGGGGCCCTTATTGGGGCTATCTTGGGCCCTCCTGGAGCCATCTTGACGCCTCGGAAGGCCATCGGAAGCGAAAAGGCGAGAAAACAATGTTCATTGGTTTTTCTTTGGTTTTTGAAGGATTTTGGCCTCTTGGGCCGTCCCCTTGGAAGTCTCGGAGGCCTCTTGAAGTCGTCTTGGGGCGATCTTGGGGCCTCTTGGAGCATCTGGGGGGCCATCTTGAGGCATCTTGGGTTATCTCGAGGCATCTTGGAGGTCATCTTGGCTTCTCCGAGGCCCTCTTGGGGCCGTTTTGGGCCATCTTGGACGCTCCAACGCATCGCGGAACCCCCCGTCCAGGTCCAGTGGAGGGGGTTAGGGGGAGGGGTAAACCCCTCCCCGAAGGGGAAGGAGGGAAGATGGAAGAGGAAACTTCCTAAACCACCTACGCTAGGAGGGCTGGTGGGATTGCCCTGCACCCGTGTTGCTGTTACACAGCGATTAGCAGTTTAGGCGAGAGTCCCAGTTTGAGAGGGAACCGCCCTCTGTCCGTGTGACTGTTGTGCGATCTTAAGCTTGTGATCGCGTGTATCAGCCAGTCTTAGGCGAGAGCCCCATTCTGATTTTGTGCTGTCCTCCATCCGTGTAACTGTTCCACGCTTTGATCACGAATGTGCGCGGCGCTACGGCGAGAGCCACCGTCGAAAACCACTGGCCCTCTCGTAAAGCGGCTTGGGACTTTTAAGACGATTGTGCGCGTCGTTCGGGCGAGGGCCACATTTTGGAAGCCACAAACCCTCCATCCGCTGGAAGCATGACGAATGTGCGCGGTGCTAAGTCGAAGCAAACATGTTACAAACCACCGGCCCTGCATTCGGGTAAATGTGTTTTTTTATTTATTTGTTTGCCTCGGGTTCATACATTGAAAAAGGCGTGCCAAGCAAAAACAACTGGCCCGGTCTGCCTTCGGACACGTCTAGCGGTGCGATTGGGAGGAGTTGACTTGTTGACAAGGACGAGAGATGGAGGGGGTCTTCGGAATAAGGGCGCCTCAAGGGGGGGAGATAAAGTGCCCCCCATTTTGTTTGCCCCGTTTCGAGCCCGCTCCGTTTCACTTCACTCGAGTCTCAGAGCATTCCACACGTCACCCAGTTCCCTGCCATTTCCATTCTCCATCCCCCTCTTCGCTCCTGCATTCCACTCTTCGCTTGCTGCTGGCCCACGGGAGGACTACGAGTTCTTCTGTCAGCTCATGTGCGAGCGAAAGAAGGAGCTTGCCGCACGCGTGCCCTGACAGCGCCTTTTATTCTCATCTACTTTCTCTTCACTTCTCCTATTGCCTGTCCTCTCGTTTTTCTTCTGCTCCTGCTCCATCTCCCTCGTACCCGCGCCGCACCTGGTGGATCCCGTCGCTGGACGCCCTCGCTTCCGCGCGGCCCGCCATGGGGCCTGTGTTGCGCCCGGCGCGCAGAAAGAGTCTGAACCGTTGCGAGGGCGAGGAAGGGGAGGGCGAAACGAGGAGGAGGGGGGTGCGGGGAGGCTCGGGCCAAGGACTCAAAATCATGACAGGAGGGGGACGCTCGCGCTCCCTCGCCGTGAAAGTGTCCACCAGAAGTGCACTTGATTCGCGTGAGCAGAGTGCGACGGCGACAGCGGTTGCAGCTGGTTTTGTTTTTTTCTTGCTTATGTGCTGCTGGATGGCCGAGAAGCGCGGGGGGCTCTTCATCGAAGAGCTCTCGGATTGGAGGGTCGATCCCAGCGAGCGCGATTCCCTCCTCTGCGCTCGTCGCAGGGGAGGGGGGGCTGGAGCCGGCCTCCGATTTAGCGCATTCGGTCTGTCCGGCGGCTGAGGCGGTTCAGAGCGGAGTGCCCACGGCCTCGGGCTTGGCCCGTGTCGTGGCGCGAGTGGAGCCGTGGTTGGCGCCAGCGCGCGATGCTCGCATCGGCGCGCTGCTCGCGCGCCGTCGCGCGCGGGGGGGTCGATCCCCCCGCAGCGCGCGCGCGGGCTGCGGCAGGAGCAGGGTTCGATCCCCCCGCCGCGCGCGTCGGAGGCGCGAGGGTGCGGCAGTTAGAACACTTTGGGCGTAACGGGCGTTATAGCCCCCACCCCCCCCTCTATCACGTAACGCCCCCCCCCCCCCTGAATGCACCCCAGGAATTGCCGCCGTGCGCATCGAGATCTGCATACGCGTCCGCGTAGGAATCCGCATAGGAGTCTGGTCCGCAGTCGTCGCCGTCGTCGTCGTCGTCGTCGTCGTCATCGTCGTCGTGCTCGTCGCTCGTCGATCGTCACTCATCGTCGTCGTGCACACGGACGCGGCCGGAGCCTTTCTTTATATCCCGCGCCGATGGCGGCCGTCATCTGGGGTGGGGGGGGGCGGGGCCGAGGACGTCACGTTTCGCGCCAGCGGCATTTGGGAGTGCCCAGGAAAGACCGAGGACGGGTCGCAGCAGCATGTAGGTGGCGATCCGCACCACAGCGCTTGTGTACACTTCAGTCCTTGCGTGCACCACAGCGCCTGTGTACACCACACACACAGCCTATGTACACCGCAGCAGCCGCGTGCAACACAACGCCAGTGTGTGCAGCAGTGCCTGCGGGCACCGCAGCGCTTGTGTGCACCACAGCGCCTGCGTACACCACATCAGCCGTGTTCGACACAGCACCAGTGTACACTGCAACGCCTGCGTGCACTACAGCGCCTGTGCACACCACAGCGCGCTTCTACAGCACAGCATCCATGTGCAACAGAGCACAAATGTTGCCTGTAGAATGTTAGAAATAATCCGTATGAGAAAATTGAGCGCTTGTGGAGTCTACAGAAAACAGTTGTTTTATATAGCATGTGGGAAAGGAACCGTTATGGAAAAAGGAGCGCCACTGGAATCCACGATTCCTCCCGCACCATCCCGACTCTTCCGATATGCGTCCAGAAGGCTCCAGCAGAATTGGCCATCCGAAAACCAAGCGGACTCATTCAATAGACCACTCTGCGGTGCCCGCTGAGACGCGCTCGTGCGCTGCAGCGCCGACCCGCACGACATGGGGGGAAAGGTGAGTGAGGAGGTGGAGGAGGACAATCTAGGTGCGGTTGCGTCATGCCTGACGTCCTACCCCTCCCTCCCATCCTGTACCATGTTGTAGATATCCTCTGTAGTCGCACACTATGATGTCGTAGCGTGGCATAACATCACATTGCATAGCATGGTGTCGAAGATCAACGCGTAGCATGACATATCATGGCTTGGCGACTCCCCAGGGTGGGGAGAACCAACGAATCGGCACCGAATGTGTAATCATTTCCGACGGTTTCTTCGGGAGACAATTGTCTAGATTTTGGGGCCTGTTTGGAAGGACCGAAAACCATGCCGTGGCATGGCGCTGGAAATAACGACGCCAGTGCTGCAGCGGGAACACGATTCGGAACGACCGGAAGCGCGGACATGAGGCCAGTGTTTCAGCGGGAGTGCGATTTGGACCGAACGGTAGCCCGAAACTGACGCCAGCGTCTCAGCGAAAGCAGCATTCCGACAACAAACCCAAGCGAAAACCCAACTCCCTGGAATCCCGTGTGTAAAACCGGTGCGCAGAAGGGGGGCCAAACATTTCCCCAGACGCCACCATGGGAGAGAGGAGAGTACTTCCCCAATCAGAGCTTGCCTCTGTAAGGGTCCTAGCGGATTTAAAGGTAGGTGAGGTTTGCCGCCGATTCTGTGGCCGGGCCCGGGTGCCCGGGTGCCCGGGTGCCCGGGTTCGCCGCCGATTCGGTGGCCGGGCCCGGGTGCCCGGGTGCCCGAGTGCCCGGGTTTGCCGCCGATTCGGTGGCCGGGCCCGGGTGCCCGGATGCCCGGGTGCCCGGGTGCCCGGGAGACGGGTGCCCGGTGCCCGGGTGGGTGCCCGGGTGCCGCGTGCCGGGTGCCTGGGTGCCTGGTGCCCGGTAGCCCTAAAGCCTTATAGCCCTATATCCTTATCGTTCTATAGCCCTATAACCCATATAGCCATATAACCATATAGCCCATATAGCGCCCAAGAGCCCATATAGCCCTGTAGCCCTATAGCCCAACAGCCCTAACAAGATTATGATTGGGTTGTTTCTCTGGTATCATGTTCATATTGCGCAAGTGTGGAGGTGGAGAAAAAAGGAAGAGGAGGAGGAGGAGGTGGAGGAGGAATAGGAAAAGGAGCAGGAAGAGGAGCAGGAGGAGGAGGAGGAGGGGGATGATAATGATGATGATGATGATGATGATGATGATGATGATGATGATGATGATGATGATGATGATGATGATGATGATGATGACGATGATGATGATGATGATGATGATGATGATGATGATGATGATGATGATGATGATGATGATGATGCTGATGCTGATGCTGATGCTGATGCTGATGCTGATGCTGATGCTGATGCTGATGCTGCTGATGATGATGATGCTGATGCTGATGCTGATGCTGATGATGATGATGATGATGATGATGATGATGATGATGATGATGAGGATGATGATGAGGAGGAGGAGGAGGAGGAGGAGGAGGAGGACGTGGAGGTGGAGTTGCGCGTGGAGGTGGAGATGGGGGGAGGAGAGAAGAACGTTCCATTCTATCCTCGACGCTTCCCTGGCGTGGTGTTTAGTTGTCCGCAACAGAACCTCACTTACATGCTCTTTCTACATGTCCTGTGCACGCAGGCGCTGTGGTGTACACCAGCGGTGCGTTGCACGCGGATGCTGTGCTGTGGACAGGCGCTGTGGTGTGCACAGGCGCTGCGGTGCACGCAACCATTGTGATCTACGCAGGCGCTGTGTTGCACACGGCTGTTGCGGTGTACGCAGGCGCTGCGGTGTATACGGGCGTTGTGGGGCAGATCGCCACCTACATGCTGCTCCTATTTGGCCTGGGTCATCCCTACGTAGGCTTTCCTGGACGCCGCCGGCGCGGAACGTGACGTCATCTTGGGGGGGGGGCGGGGCCGAGGACGGCTGCTATCCTGGAAAGGAAAACCCCGGTTCCTGTGGTGCTGGAACCACACGGCGGGAGGGGGGCGTTGCGTTATAGGGGGGGGGGCCCTATAACGCCCATAATCGTTGAAAATAACGAAATTCGCTCCTGCCCCGCGGCGGCGACGGGCTGCCGAGCGCGCAGCGCGCGTTCAGGTGGCGATCGAGGCCGTTCGGTTGTCGCTGGGGTGGCGCCCAGAGCGGCCTCGGGTAGGGGCTAACGGCGCCGCAGGCCGAGATGCTCGCCTAGCGTGGCCGCGTGGCGCTAGTCTTTTGGACGCGGCGCTGGGTGCATCAGCGCGCCGCCGCGTAAGGGAATCGGATCCAGAACAGCGTTGACGCCAGGGTCTTGCCGCGCGCGCGGGTGTGTCACTGGGGTGGGTGGGTGTCATCACGAGGTCGGTCTGCACCCTTGGAGCACCCGTGTCCGTACCTGGGCCGGGGGGGCGGGGGAGAGGGGCTGGGGGGGCGTCGGGGGCAAAAGTTGGGGTCGCGACGCGCCGCGATCGCAGAATAATGATTTGATGTTTCCCGATGTGCGAGGCGCGAGGAAGTCACTGTTAGTGATTATGTGTTGATTTTAGGTGTGGGGAGGCTGGGGTCAGGGAGCCATAGTCATGACAGGAAGGGGGCGGCCACTCGCGCTCGCCGTGAGAACGCCCGCCAGAAGTGCGCTTGAATCGTGCGAGTAGAGCGCGACGGCGACAGCGGTTGATGTAGCTTCCCGCCCGCCACGCCATGGGCCCCAGTGGGCTATCGGGCTTGGCGCCAGCGCGGCCTTTGCCGTGCGATAGTGCGGTGCGCGCGGGCAGCTATTGGCCTAGCTTCGGATACACCGAGCGTGCGCGTCGCAGGTACGAGCGGCGCCGCATAGGACAGCGCGCGCGGAGGCGTCCTTCCCCCTCACGCTGGCCCGGGATTGTATCGCCAGGGCCAATGTGTGACGGGGCGCGCGACATGATCTTTTGCGCGCTATCCCGCCTGCCGTGCCTCGGCCGCTTGCTTTCTCCAGGGGGGGGGAGCGGGGCAGAGCGGAAGTGCCGGCGATTCACGCTAGGAAATTTCCGATCGCGCAGGTGTTCCACTAGGGGGGGGTTGTCGCCCCGAGGTCGTTTTGCACCCCTGTAGCACCGACATGCATTCCGAGGCCGAGGGGGTGTGGGAAAGGGGCTGGGGGATGTCTGGGGAAAAGGATGGGGTCGCGACGGGTCACGATCGCAGGATAATGATCTTACTTTCATGATTCAATGGGCGAGGCGCGGAGGTAAAGTGCCAGAGGTTTGAGGATTCTTTTTGTTTTCTGAGTATGACGACTGTGGTGGTGGCACAGACCATGATCGTCGGGCCTGGTCCCTTGGCTGTCTCGCAATGAAGCGAGCCATCAGGGAAAATCGGTGGCGCCAAGACCACGCATCGCTCCATCTTGGCCTCATCGTCTTTTGCGCAGTCTTGGCTTTCATGGTCGCCGGGGGGCAAGAGCCTTTTAAACAAGAAAAGTTCTGGGCCGATAACGGTCGTCATCGGTGGGGGGGGGGCGAGGACATCATGTTTCGCGCCAGCGGTTTCTGACCGAGGAC